TTTATCGGGAAATTTCACATCTTTTTCACTTTTTTTAAAAATAAAAATGTTAGCCAGAAAAGTCACCAAATTTTATTCCAATAGTCATAATGACAATGACACACCAAATGACATTACCATTAAAGAAATGTGATTGACACACCAAATGAATAGTGACATTATAACTTCCTAGTTAAATTACTCCCTCCGTCCCAGGGAGAAGTTCCCGGGTTGACTTTCACACATATTTAAGAAATAAAGTTACTGAGGGGTAAATTTTACTGTTTGGCACTGTTTCGACACTGTTTGGCACTGTTTTGACACTGTTTGACACTGTTTTGCACTGTTTGACACTGTTTTGATGTTGGATAACTTTCCATTTAGGGAAATGGGAACTTTTTGTTGGGACTACCAAAAAAGGAAATTGGGAACTTCTCCCTGGGACGGAGGGGAGTACTTTTTTGTCACATTTTTATTCGTACGTAAAATAGTCATTTTTTAGAAAAATGTTTTTGTACAGTAAGATTTAAGTAAACCACAGTAGTCATGGACCCGGGCCCGGCCGGGCTTTTTTTTGGGAAGGAAGGCCCGGGACCGGCCCGGGTAGCCACCGGGTCCGGGCCTCCGGTTTGGTTATTTTTTTTTTTTTTTTTTTTTTTTTTTTTGTGCTTTCCTAACCCCCCCTCACCCCCCACCCCCACCCCAAAACCCCCAAACGCCTCCTAACCATCAAGCCCAACCCGGGTCTACCCCAAAAATGAAAAAAAAAATTCAATTAGGCCCGGACCCGGGCCCGACCCGGCCGGGCCGGTTCGCCAAATACAAGGCCCGAGCCCGGACCCGCCGCCCCCACCGGGCCTAGGCCGGACCCGGACCCGAGAACCGGGCCGGTTCCGGTCCCGCACAGTGGCGGGCCGGGCCGGTCCCGGGCCGGGCGGCCCGAACCGGGTCCATGCCCAAACCACAAATTTATTCGTATGTTGATAAGGATTCTAAATACCAAAATTTAGAAAATTAAGGTCAATCACAGATTTATTTTGAGTACTATTGAGAGTTTGTGATTTATTTTGAGTACTATTGAGAGTGAAGGATGTATAATGGATCTATGGTACTTGGGGAGCAGTAGAAACAAAATGCTGACAACACATGTAAGTATGTAACAACAACATCCAAATTATATCCACACAAATATTAAGGTCGAGTAACATGAATCGATTCATAATATCAAACTTAAATAACTTGACATTTTTTATAAAATAAAATTAAAAATGAATAGTCATGTAATAATAAATTGAGATTTTTGTTAAAGTGTTGCTCAAATAAAATTTAAGGGAAAACAACATGACTAAGGTCAGCATAGTTTAATGGTCACTAACATAAAAATTAAACATAAATCAATCACTAAAAGTTAATAATATAATTACTTTAATTTGCATAAGGGGTCACTTTTTATCCATCATCTATATTTAATGATACATATACTCTTATATGTCATTATTTCTAACAAATTAATACCGAGTATGAATTAATAAGAAATAACAACAATCATTAAAATGAAGATGGTGGATAATATTATGATAACTCTAATTATCATGATTTGTTCGATTTTACATTATAATGACCACTCATGGTGACTTACATAATTTCATCATTATGTGTTTTCCAGTAACATTTAAAGAAAACCTTATCAAGTTGTCATTACTCATTAGTTGCTTATTTGAATATTTACTATTTAACTATTTATTTATAGGAGTATATATGTATGTCAGTATATGTTTAACAGTTAAATTTAAAATAGAAAATGAGCAACAAATGTTAAAAGTAAGCTAACCAGAGAAGGTTGAAGTTTTAAAGGTGAAACTAGACTTTGCACTATATTTTTCTCTGAAAATATACTGCCATATTTGACATTATCTAATATTAATACGATAATATTAATGTCATAATACACAATATTTTAAGCATGTCATTAATTACTTTTATTTGGGGAAAATAATAAGTTCTCATTTTGTAATTTCACATTGTTATCTCATCATTTTCATGTACTTGAGCATATCTTAACTCTAGTTCATCTTATCTTTTTTTTTTTTATCATATCTTATCTTTTATCATTTTTTATGTTTCTTTTTCTTTTGACTTTAATATAATGTATCGATTCATGTTAGCCGCTCCCAAAATTTGTTGAGACTAAGGTTTGAATGTTGTTGGAATTTCACGTTGAAAATTTTCTATTTTTACGATAACTCTTGCAACTCATATACCAAACATGAAACTAGGAAAATTCTAGGGACTTCTTAAATTATACTCCCTTTATCCCATAAGGCAAGGTGCATGATTGTTTTGGCGCAGATTGTTTTACAATTCTAACCTTCAAAAGATGAAAAAGTAAGATGAATCCATAAAGAGTAATAAGTAAAATGATAGATAAAGTGAGAAAATAAAAAATAGTGATGTTAAATTTGGAGAAATGTTCATAATTTTGGAACAGTTCAAAAAAATGTCTTACGAAATGACGAAGAGAGTAGAAAGTTATGAGTAACAATCTTTTGCTTGCCAAATATACACACTCCTACAAAATACTTTAGACTCAAATCAATTTGGAAGTGCATTTTCTTTAAAATTAATTATACCTTTGATACAACCATTATTAGAGTAATCCAACTTTTGGTCCCTAACTTTCAATTTTTTTACTTTGTTTCATCACAAGATCTATCACTTATCACTTATGGTACTTCCATCCCGTTGTTGGGTCGATATTCCTGCAATAGCTAATTGATTTTCTCCTCAAAAGTGGCCGGAAGGACCACACATGACAGAAAAACTTGTCATGAGACCAAAATTGAAAGAAGAAAAAAACAGGTTAAAACCCAAAAGTCGTAATTTCTGGAACCAAAAGAGAAACCAATTCTTTTCTTTACCCTGATAGGTCTCACACATTGAGTAGAGTAAGACCGTCCAATGTAAGTTTTAGTGAAAGATAAAACGACAAACTATTCAATTTGAACAGGTTGAAATATGTACAACTTGAAAACGACACATTGAAATCTTAAATGACATTGGTGAAGCAGCTGAAGCAGTATCTGGACCGGCTAGTACGAGGAATGGTCTGTCTAGTCAAAATGGCAATGAGCAGACCATGTTTCTCATGTTATGTCACAGCCTCTTTATATAGACCAAGTGAAAGTAAGAAACTTTTGTTTTTACTTGTTGAATCCCAATCAATGTCAGCAAAAAAATGAAACACACTGGTACAATTCTACAGACTTTTGTAACCCCACAGTAGAGATCAAAACCAGATGAGTAATCTTGAGTTACTCTGATGACATTTCAAACCTTCTTCCTTAATGTGGGTGAGATGCAATTGGTCTTGTGTAAAACTAACGCAATCCGGTCCAACCAACTGCAACGAACCACATTTGGTTGTAACTCTACTTCTACTCAACATAGAACAAAATATTTCCTTACCTCAGAAGAACACTACATAAGGAGCAAAACTCCAAGCCTCAGCTTACAGCACAGGACTGAAATGTCAAAGAAGCAGTTCACTTCATGTTCTGAAATTTAGAAACATAATAAATGTAAGCTAAAATAAAATCTAATTTGAGGTGAGGCCGTTCAAAGAAGCTCAAAATGGCTGAAGTTGAAGTTGCAGGTAGAATGTGTTCATTGGATGAATTTGCTTTACTATACAAAAAAGGTTTGTGAGATATGTGGCACCCTTGAGGTATTTAGTTTCCTATTTGGTAGAATAAGATTTTAATAAGTCACATGGTACTCTTGTATTTAAGTGGGCTGACTATACATAGTGCACCTAAATTTAAAAGAAATAATCCCTAATATATTACCAAAATAGGGACAATTTACAACAATGTGACTCGATAACTTTTAACAACTATATTTACATTGAAATTCTACGTCGTGGAAACTAAAAAAGTATAATGGTTGCCACTTAAGTGACATTTTTGTTCATAAATTTTATTTTTGCAATGTTTTAGGAAAAACCTCAATTTGAAAACTTGCTTTGGGTTTCCATTCCAGATTCATTTTCTTTTACAATCTTAATCATTGTTAATTTTATAAAATCTGAAAATGCTAAGCATCTCAAATGAAAAACAAATAAATAAACTTTTAGCATTTGGGAACTTTCATTTTTCTTGCTTTTAAATTTAATTTAATCATTTTTCATTTTTCTTGCTTTTAAATTTAATTTAATCATTTTTCATTTTTCTTGCTTTTAAATTTAATTTAATCATTTTTCATTTTTCTTGCTTTTATATTTAATTTTATAAATTTATCGTCTCAACGTCTATTAACTTGACCTCTAGTTTAAATGATACTTCCTCACAAATTTGTAATTTTTAGTTCTCATATTAAATCACCCATATTATTATACCAGGTATGCAATATGTCTCTGTTGCCAAAACAAATTCCAATGGGAAGAGTGATTACAAGCTCATACAAGCATATACTTGTGGAGAGAATTATTCAGGTCCGGCCAGGCCTTACCACTCCCCTGTCCGGCCACCTCAATTTGAGGTGGTTCCCGGTGGTATTTTTTGCCCAAATTTTTGGTGTATGTTCCTCATCAAGTCTAGTTCATCCATACCAAATTTGAGCAAAAAAATTCAATCGGGAAGGTCGTCAAATGATATTTGCAAGTTCACTGTGTTTTATATGTATATTCCGAACCAGTTAGCTTGCAAAAAATCATTTGACGACCTTCCCGATTGAATTTTTTGCTCAAATTTGGTATGGATGAACTAGACTTGATGAGGAACATACACAAAAAATTTGGACAAAAAATACCACCGGGAACCACCTCAAATTGAGGTGGCCGGACGAGCCTCCTGTCCGGCCTGGACAGGAAAAGGACTCTACTTGTGGAATCAGACTTCAATTTGACCCGGGAAAAAATGTGACAAAAAACAAATGTTTGAAAGTGCTAGACGCGTTTTCACTTTTGATGCTTAAAATGTAACATTGGCACATCTTTAGTGTAAATCATTGACATTAGGGGAGGATTACGAAAGAAAACAAATTTCTAATGTGAAACTTAAAGTTAGTACAAATTTAGGGTATAATTTACTAAATTTGGGCGCACTGTGTGTAATTCACTTTAAATACAAGGGTACCCTACGACCAAGTAAATTTAGAAAAGCTTTAGTCTAGTAAATAGAAACCTTAACACCACAGGGGAACCATATAGAATTTCCCTGGACTATTTAAACATACATATTTAAATAAATTAAAGGAAATGTCATGTACACTTGAAGGTAGACGTATCAATTTCATTCGAAACGCTACCAAATGGGCTCTGAAAGTGAACCATCTACTGGGCAAACACTGACCTGCAAGAAATTTATGCACACATAAATCTTGCAATATTAATGGTCAGCATCACTCGGGGAAAGCTCTTGAAGTCTTGAAGCTCTGGATTTGTTCTCATCTCCCCTTAAGTTCACTCATGTTTGTATTTGTGTCACTTGTATGCAAAAGCTCTTGGATATAGAACTCAAAAAGAGAAAAACCATTATCTTTTAATCTGTAGAGTCAGGACTTCTCTGGTCCTCAGATAAATGGGGCTGCAGAATTAATCTTAGTTTTTCTTTTGCCCACGTATACAATGCACTTCGCTTCCCTTCCAGAGCTTCAACCATGATAGTCAACTCACTCATATCATACCGATAAAAAAGACATCTTGAACTCCATTCACAAGAACAGAGCAGCTTGACATGACGAAGGCAAGTGTATCTGTCAGGTGAGCACGAACACCCAACTGCAGAAAGATGTAGATCATAGAAACATATTACACATTCTCTTTTGGTGCTAGTGTCAACATCATCCTCCATTACTTGTTTTTGAAGAGTAATGCACAGATACTTTTGTCTCACTTCTTCACTCTTAACTCGGGCCTATCCAAGTAAAACAAAATACATATACAGTCTTGCAATGTGATAAAACTGATTGATGTCCTTACACATGAAGTAATGGCTGAAGTCACAACTAACATACAAAATAATAAAAGATGGTATTGATATTTCTATAAAGTAGGTCATTAGGAATGCAAACCAACATTTGTCAAACTACTGGCATATGTGCACATTTTGATCAAGTTTAATCAGAGAGCCAAACAAGGTGGCACCAAAGAGGTTTGCTCTTTGTTTAGTAAATATGCAGAGTTCAAAATGAGAAGCAATTAGATCATTGAACAAGCTAGGGGTCGAATACAGCGATATTTTTAATGGGCGGATTTTGAAATTTTGAACACTCTTCAACACACCATGAAAGTCAATGGCTAGATATGGGGTAGGCTGTAGGCATAATAGTCAATGGCTAGATATGGCACACACCATATGCGCCATCGCCATGAAAAAGTGGTCGTCGCCGTAGCGCGGCAGCGCCATATGCGCCATTCATATATGCACCATCGCCATGCGCCATGAAAAATGCCTATGAGCCATGGCGATCGACATGTGCCATGACAACTATGGGGGTAGGCAATGTGTGGGATATAAGCCCTAGGATCCTGTGGAGCTGTGGAATCGCTTTGTGGGCACAGCTTAAAGTAGAACAAGTGCCACTTCTGCTCCTTTGATCCGTTTGAATTCGCTTTAATGAATCAAATAAACACGGATTTAACATTTTTTTGGTCATTTTTGGACACCCATGGAAGGTTTTCCATCTTCTGTCAATGAAAACCATTAGTATTATTCTTCCTTGTTTTTAATACCTAAAAGTAACTTAATTGTATTTAGTTTTAGAAAATATATTTGGATGTACGTGAATTATTTACTTCATTAAATCAATTAAACAAATTGATATTTCCCAAAGTTCCATAAAGATCGTATGAAATGAAACGTCGAAAATATATTTTCAACTTCTTCAATATGAGATGTTCTTAATTGAAACATCTCAGTATATATTTTAAAACTAAATACATTAATTAAGTTGGTTTATTGACACCAAAAAATTGAAAGGAAAAATAAGACTAACGATTTATATTGATGGAAGATGAGAATCGTGAGTAGTTAAAAATTATCAAATACTTCAAAATCGTGCTTGTTTAGTCCATTTGGAACCTTAGTGGCCAATATGAGATTCGTGTATAATCATAATGTCCAATTTGTTCCTTCCCCCAACTTTGATAAATAACCTAGGTTAGGAGAAAATAAATTCACCTAAGCTAATGTGAATCTATAAAGCTATTGTTTGAATAACATTACCTCTACCTAAGTGAAATATGTTCTGACCTTGTTTGGTTTAGGTGAATTGAAATAAATAAAAAACTTCACATAAAATACTGCCACTGTCCCAAAATACGAAGCCATCTTTTGGCTAATTATATATTTTTTTTATTGAAAATTATTTATAATATAAAAATGATATGAAATTTCTATCATTTTCAATGAAGTCAGAGACTCACTATTTTTTGGCTTGGGAATATGATGGATAAAGCAAAATGGCTTACTAAACTGTCTGCACTTCTTTGTTATGAAGTAACAATCAGTCTATGCAATTTTCGACGCGATTTTCACTATGGGTCATTCAGAAATAGTCTCTCTGTGCTTTAGTACAGGGGTTAGACTGAGTACATCCGACCCCCCTTACTCCACCATAGGTGGGAGCCTTTGCGGCACTGGGGTAATGATGATGATGTTAAAAATGATATGAAAATGTTCTTTGTTAAAAGTACTTTCATAAAAGTATAAAATTTATACCTTCCATAATATTATAGTAATCAAAACATGGTCCAAACTTTAAGAGATGGTTAAGTATTTTAGGACGGAGATAGTATGAGATTAACCCAATTACCCATGTTGTAGGGGGTAGATAAAAACGAATGAATTAGGTGAACAATTCACCTGGGTTAACTTAGGTCTTAGGATAACGATTTCAAGTAAGTCAAAAACCGAGTAAATGGAATTGTTTACTTATATACACCTAGGTTCACCTCAATCGAAAAAAACGTAAAACAGTCATAAAAGCTAGAAGTTTACCTTGAGTGCTTTTGCCAAAATCCCATCCTTCCCGCAGAAGCAAGTCCATTGCAGATGATCAGAAGGATCATTTACAAACAAGCGTTCACACAGGGCCTTAATAGCTTCCCCAGCAGCTTTAAGCAACAGCTTATCATAAGAGATTGATGTCTTTCTACGGAAATCGCTATATCGTTCTACAGCTAATTGTCCATGAGGCAACCAGTCATATGGAGCAAAGTTTACAGCCTCAGAACAGTTAAAGCCACAATCAACTTGAGAGTGGTATGATCCAGGGAAAATAAGAACAAACTCCTTTGGATATTGTACACAACGATAAACAGGTATACCCTCTGAAATCAAAGTTGAGGGGGGGATTTGAGTGGCCTGCAATGAATATGAGTTCAACTCTCTGGCACTTTAAACCTAAAACCTAAGTTTTAAACATTTTAAAGTTTCGCATAAAGATATAGTTACAGTTGTATAACTTGTATTGGAAATAGGGAAAGTGCAGCAAAGTTAATAGTCATTTTTTATGTTTGATGGATGAATACCATCCAGTGTGAACCAGAAATATGAAATAAAAGATTAAACTTGACTTCTTGGAAAAGTACCTTCACTCAAAGAGTCACAGGCCACACTTAACTTTTAAAGTACTTAACATAGCTTAAGACTCTTAGCTTAAGCTGATACTACTCTCTATACCATTTTTAGAAAGTCCAAAATTTGTTGGGTGTGGTGTACGGCAGAGGCAATTGTCTAGCATAATAATATAAAGCAAGATTTATAAACACCAAACTATGCTCCAAGACTTTCAAGCCCAACAGAAAATGTTTTTGTATTGTACTGATGGAAAATTGAAAACACAGGAGGTATATATAAAATACTTACAACATTGAGAAGCAACCAAGGATGTTTTGATGATTCTGGAAAGTGATTCTTCACAATTTCCTCAAACTTGGGGCGATACTGATGAGGAATGACATACCATACTCGTGGAGCACCCAAATGCATGTAACATAAAGAGTATAGGTGGTGCTCTTCAATTTTCTGTCACATGGAAAGGGAAACAGAGACCAATCGAAACGTCAAAGGTGTAATAGTAATAATAGATTCACACTCTAGACGGTGATTTAAACAGGTATCCTACAACACCAAAAAGGAACATCTTAAACAGAATTAAGAAGTTCTAGTTTTTTAAAAGGATATATTTGACTTACCCAGAAACTTGATGAAAGGCACATTCCTATGACAAGCTGAGGATCCAAAATGGAGGAAGTGCTACAGGTTTCATAACGAAGAAGGGAACCTTGAAGCACAGGTGTATTTTTCAAGTTCCAGCCTGACTGTATACAGACAGAACTCTTGGGCATCTTCGATCCATTCCGTTTGGCCGTAAATTCGCTTTTAAAGACTCTAGCATCAAGATTAGCTGCACGGAACACCTATTGTACCATATGACTGCTAAGAAGTAAGTTCAACGATGGTAAAGTACTAGAAGATCACTCAAGTATGAAATGTTAACACCGCACCTCAAGTTTTTGAATGGGGCTCTCAATTATTCGCCAATATTCACCTTCTATGTCCTGAATAGAAGGTTTCCATGACTTACTTGATGCAGTTGAACTCACATTTCGATCAGTGTTAATGTTGCTCTTGCTGAAGTACTGGCTCTTAAAGTCATCTGCATAATTCTTAAAGCTTTGTAGAGTGAATTCTGGCCCAGATTCAAACCTAAAGATGTCAGATTGGCAATCCACTACATTCGCTCCATTGAATGATCCCAAAATCAAATTTTTAATCGAACTTCGTTTCCTTTTACGTCTCATCCTCAAATGAGCTCTATGAAGCCTTTTCTTCATAAACAGATCACCAAGTTCATCGATGTGCTGGATGTGGGTGACAAACTTAGAAGTTTCCCATGTTTTCTTTTCTTCAACTATGGGTGGGGGTTGCCAGGACTTAGGAGGAACGATACGGCATATTCCATGTTCCTTTACACGTGAACGGATGCTCGCTACATAATTAAGTGTGTCTTTGAACTCCTGACATGAGATTTAAACTTATCTGGCTGGTATACAACAAGTTCCAATCCTGATAGATGTTGCATTTACCTAAGGGGAGAAGCAATGAACACAAAGGGAATACCTCTTCAGTAGGATGGAACACAGGAGCTTCTTCAAGCAAAGGCAAGTGTGAATCTTCTGGATGCCACCTCGCAACAACCTTCATTATTTATGAAAAGCATAAAAGAAATTCATTGCAGATGGAGTTAGGGCACGCCCTGTTGATAATGTACAGGTACAGATAAAGCAATTCACAACTTAGGAACAAACATGCAATTATTTATTAAAGGTTGTGAAAGTATATACTTAAACAACAAGAACCTTTAGGCAATCGGCACAGCTTGGACATCCTCGAACCACTCCGCTAGGAAGAAAAGGTCTCGAATACAAGCACTGCATATGACAATTCATGTTGAAAAAATATCAATAAGTTATAAAATAAAAGTATAAAACCATGTTGAATGTCAAATGTAGATACTAAAGACTCCTCATATCCTCTCACTTTCTTTCATCAGGAAATAATAAAACTACATAGGTTAAATAAAAGCAAAAACGAAAATCTCCCAAAATGACCTCAAACCCGTCGTCGGAATCATATTTCAGCTCTTTCTCGGAGAGGCCATCTACTATCCAGGGTCTATTCTTCGAAGCAAATTGTTTATGAAAGTCCGCATTGAAGACGCTCGGGATGGAATCGGACGGGGTTGAACACTTCTCGGATTCTTCCACAGGGAGAGGAGAACCTTGAACTGTTTCTACCTTTTTGAGCAAGAAGGATGTTGACGGCACGAAACCGGGCGGAACTGAACTGCCTTGCATCACGAATGAATGAAGTAAGAAGGGAAGTGAGTTGAACAAAGCACCGGCAAGCAGCAAGCTTGGGATGTTCTTTCTGCTAAGAGTTCATACCTGGACCACATATTACTGTATCTGGTATTCAGAGGTTTATCCAATTATTAGAGAGGCTCTTCCCGACAGAAAGCAATTATAAGGGTGATGCGTTACAAATGTAATACTTGGTGCTGCTGTATTACTTGACTTTTTTATAATTTTATTTATGCTTCAATTTTTATGCAGTAAAAATATCTATCACATTTTTTTAGTTTTTTTCCGAAATAATGTTAATTAAATACTCCCTCCGTCTCAAATTGTTTTGCAAAGTCAACATTCTTTGGTCAACTAATAATAAAAGTTAATGCTCCGTATCGATAATTAATTTAATTTTTTATAATTAAAATTTATATATTCAGGAACTACATTAAAATCTCTTCAAAGTTGTAAACTTCAAATTAGAATATAATTAAAAATTGACATCCTAATTAAGCGAATAAAATGAAACTGTTTGACCAAGAAAAGTCAAATTTGCAAATCAATTTGGGACGGAGGTAGTAAATAATTCCTAAAATACTGCTGGGTTAAAAATAATTCCCAAAATACTGTCGGGCTAATCATGGTTAAGGAAAGCCGCCACTTGAAGTGGCGGCTCTTCTTTACAGTACAAAAGCCGTCATTTCAAGTGGCGGCTCTTCTCTTACAGCACATTTTGTACATATATAAAATGCAGTATGTTTCAACAATTTTTTTAACTATCTTTCCGATTGGATTTTGAGCTGAAATTTGGTATGAATAAACTAGACTTGATGAGGAACATGCTAAAAAAAATCATCAAAAAATTCAGCGGGAAAACCCTCTGATGGTGTTGTCCGCACAGGGGTTCCGGTCAGGACGTCGTGACAGGAATGAGAGATTTTTATGAAATTTGAGTTGCTTCTGGGTCGAATTTTTGATAAAATTTGGTGATCGTGTTCTTCCTAAAGTGTAGGTTATGCTCACCGAATTTCAGATTAAAATTTAATCAAGAAGTTACTTAAATAATTTATTGAAAAAAAAAATGCATTTTTAGACCTAAAAAATTATACGATTTTTAAAATTTTATTTAACTAACTTCCCGATTGAATTTTAATCTAAAATTTGGTAGACATAATCTACATTCCACAGGAACATGCTCACCAAATTTCATCAAAAAAAATTCGACCCGGAAATATCTCAAATGAAATAGGCCTAAAATTGCAACTTTTAGACCTACCTTACATAACATGTTTAGAAGGCACATGACAAATTTTTTGCCACCAAAATTTTAGAAGTTATGCAACTAGATCAACAAACCATTATTGACTCTATCATACTACTTATTAAGTTAGGCCCAACTCACCCTAAAAGATCCTAAAGAGAGGTTTACCTCATACAGTGATACAAAAATACTACGTACTACGCATTAGACATTTATCTTTTATATACTATTCGAATTTCTCCTTGACAATGTAATATCACATTCTGAGAAGTGAGAACCAAAGAGGTTAAGGTCATCTCATATTCCCGTAACCTTAGAGAGAGTAATCCTGTAAGGCCCTAACTCCCCCTAAGGCCGAGACTACACCTCTTTAATCTGAAGAACACTATATAGAAACACAATGCAGTGTAAATCCATACCGCTCCTTTCTCTCCTGCAAAATTCTCATCTTCTCCTTGTAATGATTCTCTATGTACTTCTTTGCTGCAGCTACCTTTTCTTTGGTGATATTAGAGGCTTCTTCAGCAGATAACTGCTTAGAATCTTCGACTCCACCACCCATTGATTCTCCTTGTAATGATTCTCTATGTACGGCTTTGATTTTCTAATCATTCCCCCAACTCTATATCACTCCCCATGAAGGCCTCCCAACTCTCATTAACACCGTTCTCATCAGTAACTTCCCGGATGATGTTGTCATTCTCCACACAAAAAGGAATGTCGTCATCAAGGAGTGAATCAAAGAAGTCCATATCTGAAACCTCGTAAGAGTGGATCAGTGCATGTGTACAAGAGGGGTAATCTTGGTTGTGAAGCGAGACTTCTTCATTATGGACATCATCTACCTCGCCCCCACTCTCTTGGAGCATGTAATCATCTTTTCCCAACCCCTCTTCAATACCGAAACCTACCTCAGTAGCACCATCATCATGACTAATCTGCTCCTTGCCCTCCTCGTTAGGTGTTGAGACTAATGGTAAATCAAATGACTGGGGAGTTTCTGTATGAAAATCACGGTGATCAGTGACTTCATCAGTTACAACTTGTACTGTTTCAAACTTTTTCTTATATTCTTGGAAAAACAACTTGACGCTATTATCTTCTTCTTCATCTTCAAACATATGTGAGTCTTCAACATCATCAGGAAGTGTATCATCCATCATATTCCCACCTTCACAGTCTAGCTCACTCATATGATCATCCATATTGGTCTCCTCAGATTGGGCTTCTGTGTCGCTAGGATGGGATCTCTCGGACTCCTCAGATAAGGCGTTAAACAGCTGATCCAAGTGATTTTCCATGTTCTGAAGACTCGAGTGCGTTGATTGATGATGCGCCTCAGTTGCTTGCATGAATTGCTTGAGTGTTTCTTCCAGGTCAGACAGCTTCTCTGAAATTATCTCTTCCAATTCGTCGTCTGAATCTTGTGGCTCATAGCTCGGCAAAGACGTAGGAGTGATTGAAACATATGTGTCTGTAAGTTGTGAGGAGGACGAAGTGGGGTATGCAGTTTCCCAGTAAGGATGGTGTATGGAGGAATGGGGCAAAGACATGAATGGTGACCACCTCCACAGAAGGCACACATGCTATTTTTAGGAAAGCAATCAACCAATTCCTCGGGACTTTTAGTTTGAATGAGAAATTCCATTATGGAGCCTGGTTTTGTCCGAGGATATTGTGGATAAGGATAAGGATGAGAAGAATGAGATTGGGAGTATTGCGTATTTGGAAGAGGGTAAGAATAGGAAGATGGAAAATTTTGTGGCGTAGAAGAATAATTTTGATGAGATGTGTAATATTGAGGAGGAGAAGGAGGAGTGTAAGGAGGGTATGGCGTATATGGTGAATATTCCATGGAGGTTTGAGAGTAAGGAATCCCTCCAGGAATTTGGCTGAATGGGTTCATCTCATGCCTCTTAGAAAAATACATAAAAGGTTAGCACAGAAAAATCCTACGAAGAACTAAAAAAAACTAACTAAAAAAAATCTCGTTGAAATTAATTAACCCTTAAAACTGACACCGTCCCCGGCAACGGCGCCAAAAACTGATGTGAGTTTTCTCGCTCTTAAAAAGATTGCAATATAGTGGTGTAAGTACGAGTATCGTCTCCACAGGGACGGACAAAAGGGAATCAAGAATTAATTAAATTCAGCGATTAAAAAGAAAATAAAAATAAATGCGTCGTGTGAGATTGATTGGTTTGAAAATTAAACTAATGCGAATAAAACGATTAAACTAGGGGGTTCTTTCTAATTAATGACGAAGGGAACAGAGATTGATTCCGGGGTAACTAGATTTCTGGCAGATCAGGCTTAATTACATGAAATTAATTTCATTGAGCCTAGCTAATCATTACTAAGTTCTTACCGCTCTCGCGGCGTAGAGTACAATAAATTAGGGGACCAGGTTGATCTCTCATGCGACAGGATCCTAAATTATTGCCAAGACGAGCGAGCTTACGGCCCCTTAATCGCTACTAATCTCTTAGCGAACGATTAAGTGTGTGTGAATGTGTCCTAGAATAAATTAGATCTCTCTTAATTTATTCTACAAGCAATTGTAATTCTAGCCGCGGTTCCAGGTTACAAAAGATATCAATTAAATTATTCAAACACAAATTAAACCGCATTCATGCAATTAACCCATCAAGAATCTAGCCATACATCATGATCAACCCCTTCATCAATCCCAAATCCCTAATTAAAACTACTCACAATTCACAATTGAAGAATCAATAGAATTGGAATAAAAAGAATTAATTGTCATTAATTAAAAAAGGTGGAACTTACAAAGAATCCCAAAAGATTGATGAACAAGGCTTAAAAGCCCTCTAAAATTCGTGATAGGCACTCTCTCTAAGCTCCCCCTCGAAAACGGGGGTTTACAAGCTGTTTTTATAGAAAAATCGGGTGAAATTTGAGCTGAATTGGGATTTTCGGAGGCAGGCAGGGTGCCAGGCACGATTGTGCCTCCGGAGCAAAAACGCACATTTTGGGCAGGCACGATCGTGCCTGGCTGGCAGTAACTCTGCGGTGCTTTCTCTTCACGCATGATCGTGCCTGACTTTGAGGGCACGATCGTGCCTACTTAACTTCCGAAATTGGCAACTCTTTCTTCATGAACGTTGTAGATAATGAAGTTCTCTATCCACCCCAATTTGCCGAATGTGATTTGAATCATCCAATCAAGAGATATGATCAAAACGGTGGAAGGTGTCATTCTGAAATCGCAGCAGAGATCATCTGACTTTATCGTCTGTTTTCACCTTCTTCCTCTCAGATTATCACAAAGGTGTCTTCATATGATTTGTATACATTGACGTTAGCTTTCATATGGAACTTGAATCGTGTCCATTTAATGTTTCTACAAGGAGATATGCTTGAACGATTGACAGAAGGTCATCCAGATCGCCGTTTTCAAGCTCTTTTCGTCTTCTTTTGATCCCGTAGCCAATCCTAGAGCTCTTTTATCACCAAATCTTCATCGTGAACCTTCCGGTGACCTCCAAATCTCTAAATCCACTATCGAATGCATCTAGAATTGTCCCGATTGCTTCTCAAGCGCCAGTGCCGAACTCAAAAATCCTGATTTTGACTCCAAATGCAACAAAACTCGAACCAACGCCTCGTAAACATAACTTGAGCTAAAATTGAGACTTGCAACACCTTAACACTAGGAAAACCATCAAAATCCGATCCCAGCACGCATCAAATGCGTGTCTAAATACGGACTTATCAGTATGGAACAAATATGTTTGTTTTTTCCAATTCCTGACTAATTGTTTCAATTTTATTTAATTATTTAAATTATTTGCACTTTGACCGTATGTTGTTTGCATCTGTCATAACTACATTATGCACCTATTATTTTAATTCTGATTTGTACATTGTATTTGTTATATTGGCAGGTACAATATGGTCTTTGGTCCTT